CCCCCCCCAAACCCCCACAAAACCCAAACCAAACCAAAAATATCGATATTTGAATCATGTATTGAAATAGCATGAGCAGGTAAAACAGAGCCCTATCCGGCTGTAGGCCAGCAGTTTTTGACCTCTGTCCCACAGTCAGCTTTCCTCAACCTTTAAGGGCTGCTGCTTCCAGCTGCAGCAGATGGGCATTAACATGGTTTGGATCCAGATGGGTCCCAACTAACACTGGGGTCCCGGACAGGATTTCGGTCTGCTCCTACTGCGTAAACTCGATTGGGTATTAGGAGCTGGGACTGTGTACACCCTCTATTTTTCTGAAGGCGGGATGCTGGGGAGCGGTGGGGCCACAGACGGCTAAAGAAAACTAGCTAGGGCCATCCAGTGAGTCCGAGGGAGCACAGGAGTTGGAGTTCAGGCCTCCGCCTTCAATTCTGAGAAACGTTAGTCCAGACTCGATCACCGGCAGGTTGACAGAATCGTTGTAGTCTTCGTCTCTCCAGCCTGTGCGAAAGACCCAAAAAACTACAAGTCCCAGCACGCCTCGCTTCGCAGAGGACCCTCGCTCTTCCCCTGACTCAAACCATCCCTCTGTTCCTCGTTGGCTCACAAGCTTAACGTGCTGTTCAATGATTGGTTGCAGCTCTTGTCGCGCATAAGAACCCATTGCCGAAGCTGGCCGACAGGTTCCTCGCAGCCGCTAAGGAGATGTAACAGCACTCGACCAGGCTGGGGGAGCTGGTCGGTAAATAAAGCCGCCTTCCCTCCGGCTGCGAGGCCTTGCTTTTTTAACTTCCCGGTGACACTAGGTTTGGAGGGTTTCCGGCCGGAGGCCATTAGATGGGACACCCGGAAGGCGGAAGTTCCAGGGCGGAAGTGGCCGAGAGGAACGGAGAATGGCGGCGGAAGGCTGGTTTTGTCGCTGGGGCTGGGGCCGGCGGTGCCCGGGGAGGCCTGGGCTTCCCGGCCCTGGCCCTGGCCCCACTACACCTCTACTTCTTTTTCTGTTGCTGGGGCCGGTTGTTGCAGATATAACTGACGGCAACAGTGAACACCTCAAGCGGGAGCATTCGCTTATCAAGCCCTACCAAGGTGAGGCCTGGGGCGGGAATGGGTGCTGGGTGAGGGCGAGGCTGGACAGGGTTGGACAAGGGAGTTCCTTTCTCCTGAGCAAAGCAGCTTTGTGGGTTTCCTGTCTTTGGCAAGGCCAGTCCTGGAATGGCTTCTTACGCACCTGTCTCTGTCCGTCTCTGCCCACAGGGGTCGGTTCCAGCTCCATGCCCCTCTGGGATTTCCAAGGCAGCACTATACTCACGAGCCAGTACGTGCGTTTGACCCCTGATGAGCGCAGCAAAGAGGGCTCTATCTGGAACCACCAGGTGAGTGGCTCCCAGGAGGTTAGGTATACCCTTAAGTAAGCCACTACTCCTAGTCTCTGCAGCACCCAGACCTGAGCTTAGTTCGAAGGTTTGCTTCGCACCTTTCTCTCCCGCCCAGGTCTTCCTCATCTTGGTAACGCTCATCAGTGGTGACATTAACAGGTAATGACTATTGAAGCTACGACGTGTCAGGAACTGCACCTGACACTTTCCACCTTTCTCATTTAGTTTCTTCAAAAGCCTTGTGAAGTAAGTGATGTTATTTCCATTTTACTGACTACGCTGAGGCTTAGAGTTGAAAGTGCCTTTCTCAAAGTCACGTAGCTAGTAAGCACGGAACTCTCCAGCTGTCTGAATTGAACCCTCAACAGTGGGATAAATGGAATGAACATCTTTATTGGGTGGTTTCTGTGTGTTAGGCACTGGCCTTATGATGCCTTATTGTATTTAATTCTCAAACAGGCTGTTTGAAATAGTTGGCTATTGTGGCTTTATACAGAGCTAACACAGCGAATGGTATAAACGTTTAAATTCTGATCTGTCTGATCTCTAAGCCCAGCAATTCACTTGCTACACTTGACCCCCTACCCCTGTACGGTGGAGGAATCCCTTAGAAATACTTGCAGACTCCATCCATTTCCCCAGTGTTTCATTGATGATCTTGTCATCAGTGGTATAGAGGAGCTGGACTTGTAGGCAGTTTTAATTTCTGTGACTTTTGCTTTAGAGGTTAGGGAACCTCGAGTGTCACTGGCATGTCATACATAACTAGTGGCCAAGATAAGTCGCTACACAGACTCCACACTGAGGAGGTCGAGGTCAGGAAAGGGGTGAAAGGGGAATAATTTTGGGCTGGGTCACAGCTTGGGGCAGATGCTGCCCCTGGCTACCTGATTCCAACTCTTCCCATGGCTTAAGCTGTTGGCCATTGTCCTAGTTTTCTCCACCCTGTTCTTTGGTCCATTCTGAGTGGCTTCCTCATTAAGTTCTGGGAGACTACGCTGTCCTTGTGTTGCCTCATCTGCCTGTCTCTTCCACTCCTCCTCTCCTTTGCTAGGGACATCTGGTTTACTTTCTTCAGCTTTCACTCTGATCCTCAGAGCCTGGGGTCTCTCATCAAGGGATAAACAAGCATTATGTCTATACAGTCTGGCCCCTGGTGCCTGGTGTCTCCATTCATTCTAGTAATTTTGTTCCAGCCTCTCTGGCTGCTTTCTTGCCTCAGGATCTTTGCACTTGTTGTTCTCTCTGTCTGGGCACATTGCCTTCTGGCTCTTCATGCCTGCCTGGTTCTTTCTCATCTGGTGTGTCTCAGCTTGAGTGCCACCCACTCAGTATTTCATTAACTACTTTATCTCCCCAAGTCACATTCTGTCACATTATTCTGTCTTAGGGCTTCCAGATAATTTTAAAAAATTATACTGTAGTGTTACATTTTTTATGGAAGTGAGTTCAGTATAGCATTAAATTTTTTATTTTTTAAGGAAGGTACAAATAGGACTAGAACTATTAGAAATTGGTTCAGCTACAAGTAACTTAATTATGGTTGTATATATAACTATTGGTTGGCATTGTCAGTGTTGTGGCAATGTCACAGGGCTGAGAGGATTCTATACTACATCAGATTTTTAGTCTGGAATGTAACTATTCTTCCCCCACATCCCTATTCAGTTCTAGGGCCTTTCCTATTTGGTCCTGCAGTTATTCTTAAAAGGTTGGAATGTTTCCTGTAAATCTTGAAAGAAATTGCTTGGAAGTCTTAGAATTTTCTCCCTAGTGCTTCCCAAGAACCACCTCTTCCTTTACTGGGCTGGAGAGCTGGTTTCTGGACTTTTCTTTGTTGCGTGCCCCCACCTGGGAGAGGGACTGAATTAGCAAACACTCCTAAGCACCTGCTGTTCTCTGAGCAAAGAGAAAAACACAGCTGTGCTGTTTCAGTGGAGAGGTCCAGACCATGGAGTGGCCCCAAGGTGAAGTCTCAAGACTGACTGGAGCACAGGACATAGGGGGATGCCCAAGGGGCTGATAGGGCCCCATCTTGAGGGGCCTTGTGTGGAGGCTGCAGAGGTGGTGGTTGACCTTTTTTGGCTGATGTACTGTCTGAAAGTATATATCCTCTTGTGCTTTTTAAAAGTTCGTATCCCAAATTACTTATTGTAAGTTTGAATATTTGCAAATGATGTAGTTTCTAGCATATTTAAATATTGCCATTTTAAAATAAAGCTGTTTGGTACTCTTCAGTATGTTCAGTGGAATCTAAATATTTCAATTGTGTGTTTTAAACACTGTGAACCAGCCTGAATTATACATCAGTTTTTTTAATTCAATGTGCGTTTTCATCTCATCCCACACAATTTTATCCTATGCCATGTATTTAATGCTTGAAAATTTCTTCTTGATTAGCTTGTTCTATTCTCTAACTAAAATAAGCATAATAATTTAAACCTTTTAACTTTGGGGGCACCTGGGTGGCTCATTCGGTTGAGCATCTGACTGTTTGTTTCAGCTCAGGCCTTGATCCTAGGGTTTTGGGATCCAGTGCTGCGTCGGGCTCATTGTAGAGCATGCGGCCTGCTTAAGATTCTCTCTCTCTTTCTCCCTGCCCCTCTCCTCCATTCTCTCTCTCTCTCTAAAATAAAAATAAATTAGAAAAAAATTAACATTTTAACTTTGTTGGGACCTTGAAACTAAGTTTTAATATGGGGGGGTGTTACAATTATTATTGATACACAGTTGGTCAAAATAAATTCATTACACAATTTTGAGATAATTATTGTAAAAGTAAAAATTTATTGAAATGCATCTCAATAAGCTGTTGTCCCCCCAGTCCCTGTCTGGATGGGTATTATTGTCAGAATGAGACAGGCCTCAGCACCACTTCTACTTTGTGTGTTTTTTTTTTTTTCAACGTTTATTTATTTTTGGGACAGAGAGAGACAGAGCATGAACGGGGGAGGGGCAGAGAGAGGGAGACAGAATCGGAAACAGGCTCCAGGCTCTGAGCCATCCGCCCAGAGCCCGACGCGGGGCTCGAACTCACGGACCGCGAGATCGTGACCTGGCTGAAGTTGGACGCTTAACCGACTGCGCCACCCAGGCGCCCCTACTTTGTGTTTTTATAGATGTGAATGCTGAGAATCTGTGTTTACTTAAATAGTAGATGGAGATATAGCAGGGACACTCAATATTTTAAACTCTTGTTGGTTTATATACTCAAAGTCATGTAGTGATCTTTCATCAAAATGATGATGTATCAGTTAACTATTGGATTAGCTCTGCCTTCCACTAGTTGCAAGGACGTGGAAACCACTAAGTGTAAAATGCTCTATGATTGCCACATGATTCTGATTTAATTGGCTCGGGGGAGGGTCAGGGCATTAAGATTTCTGAGCTCCCCAGCTGGCTCAGCTGTGCAGCTAGGGTGGAAAACCACGGCTGTCGAGTCCTCCTTCCAAAATCAGCTTCTAAGTCCGTTCCAGCTGGTACTTCACCTGCACCTGCTTAAAATCCTTCAGAGGCTTTATATTGTCTCTCTTTTGGTGTTTCCCTCCACTGATCTACAGTCTTCAATCTGCCACGTGCAAAGACTTTCTAAGGCCCAGATAGTCCTGTAGGAATCAGTTTCCAGGTTTCAACTTCTGTGTGTACTCTTTCCTGAAACTCCTCTCCCTATGAACATACCAGGGGCAGGAGGGTAGGTGTTCCTTTCTCATATCCCTCTTCTCAGTTGCCCTTCTGCTTGGAGGCACACCTTGCACCAGCTTGGGGTCTTAGCTCAGTGCATTGTTCTCAGGTACAGAAAACTCCTGGGCACCAAAGAGACTGTTTGGAATCTGGTTTCTGGGCTAACTTTTGTGGAGGTGAGATATTTAAAAAATTTTTTTCAAATATATAAGGGCTTTTCTAGTTATTAGAAAATTAAGTTGTTGTTAATATCTAGTTTGGTTTCACCATGGTCAAGGAATGCAATCTGTTATTTCATTTCTTGGAGGTCTGTTGAGTCTTGCAAATGGTCTGGTTTCTGGAAAATTTTGTGTGTGTGTCTGCAAAGAATGTGGATTTTCAGGTCGTTGAGTACAGTGTGCTGTTTGGACCTTAGTTAAATTTACTGATTGGGTTCAAATATCTGTATTCTTCCTGATGTTTTTGCTTGTTTTTATCGATTACTAAGAGAGGTATGTTAAAATTTCTCTGTGGATTTGTTTTTACTTTTGTAATTCCGTTAGTTTCTGCTTTACAGATTTTTGAGGCCAAAATTTTCCTGGTAAAGGGAATCTTTTATTAAGAAATGTTTTTGGGGGCGCCTGGGTGGTTCAGTCGGTTGAGCGTCCGACTTCGGCTCAGGTCACGATCTCGCGGTCCGTGAGTTTGAGCCCCGGGTCAGGCTCTGGGCTGATGGCTCAGAGCCTGGAGCCTGCTTCCGATTTTGTGTCTCCCTCTCTCTCTGCTCCTCCCCCGTTCATGCTCTGTCTCTCTCTGTCTTAAAAATAAATAAATGTTAAAAAAAAATGTTTTTGTTATTAAAATGTCCCTTTTTAAATTTTGTTATTGATATAGCTACACAAGCTTGCTTTCGGTTAGTGTTTGCATGCTGTATCTTTTCCTGTCCTTTTCCTTTTTTCCATTTCTTTATGACTTAGAGTTATTTTCTTGTAAACTCCATGTAATTAGTCTTTTGAGGGGTTGTTGGTTTATTTTTGTGGTAAAATACACATAACACCATTTACCATTTTAACCTTTTTTCCCCCACTTTTAAATCATTTAATTTATGAAACCGTTCTCTTCAGTAGGATGCTCCTTGGCATTTAAACGGTGTTTAAAAATGTAATGGTGAGGTGCCTGGGTGGCTCAGTCAGTTGAGTGTCTGATCTTGGCTCAGGTGGGGATCTCCTGGCTCGTGGGTTTGAGCCCTGCATTAGGCTGTCTGCTGTCAATGCAGAGCCCACTTAGGATCCTCTGTCTCCCTCTTTCTGCCCCTCCCCTTCTCATGTGTGGACTCG